TATCCGCCTTGTGCAAGTAAAGCAAATAGAAATCAAAAGAAATATTCAAACTTACCACTATTAACATCAACAATATCAACAATCAATCAAACGAGTATATTCCGCAAAGTAATTGCGAAGTTAGTTTGTTTGATTTCTTGACTTGATTCTAGAAAATCGCCATCACGATGCTAATCATTTTTCCCGGCTCTATAGATGCTCATAGATAAAGCGGACACATTACCTTTCTTGATTCTTTCCGCACATTTGATATTCGCCGAGAAAATCGTGATCATTGTCATGTGTCTAATCAGCGCAGTATTAATTTCTATCAGATTTTCGTCACATGCTGAGATACAGTGCGCAGTATATCGAATAAAATTTTCAGGCATCCGAATTCTTGATGCTTGGGCGCAATATTGTTCTAGCGATAAAAAAATCGAAACACAACGCATTAAATAACAAATTTCTTGAATATGAGGAAGAATGGAATGTTGTGAAAATGAAGTATAGCGGTAAGTGTAGATCGGAAGTCTCACCTTGTTTTATTTCTCCGTTGCTAATCTCAGAATTCTTCATACAGGTTCGAAATTATTTCATCTCGGGGAAATTCTCTTGCAGTGATGTAGATATGCATGTATTGATCACGTGAACAATCGAGTGGCTTGGAAGTTGTATTACAAATAATAATTATTATTCGCTCATATAGATTTTCCTCTTCATAGTTTGAAAAATGAAAACAGCCTTTTTTTCAGAAACTTCGAATTGGTCGCTTTTTAACTTTCTCAAATTTCGACAGAATGAAGATAATTGGACATATAATAAACAAAAAGAACATAATACATATTTGAGAACTCTGGGTATAATAGTAGCAACCAGCTCGAACGAACAACGATCTGTGGGAACTTCGGCTTTGAATAACTTTACAGTTAAGTGATCATTTTTTAGAGTAAAAGTAAGCTTGGCACATCAACAACAACTTAACAATCTGGACAGTTCGTCATATCGATCCATTTGTGTTTGATGCGAACTGTCCTAAGCTAAGTTGTTGATGATCCATTCGTGTTCTGATGTTGCCCATCTGCTGGTATTCGTTAGTACATCACAACGCCTTAACAATCTGAACAGTTTGTTTTGATCCATTTGTGTTTGATGCATGCTGTTCTAGGCTAAGTCGTTGATGATCCATTCGTGTTCGATGTGTTTACGAATACCAGCTGACAATCACATCAGTTATTATAGATGATCGCTAATCCATCTCTCATAAATAAATAGAAAGAGATAAATACTGTTGAGGTAATGAACTTCTGGAAAGATGTTGAAAAGGATAGAAATGCTAAGGAATACGAAGCTACTCTCGAAAATATGGATGTAAATATTTGCTCTAAATTTTCTTGACTTTGTTATATAACTATTAATAATCTTATATTTCTTAGATGGAATTTACCATTGAGCGTACATTAGAACACAATGATTATATTAGAGAAGTGGGACATCGACGCAGGCAGGTCATGGCTACTTCCGTAAATTGTGAAGGTATGAATAATTTGGAACAAGTCAAGCGAATATCAAAGAAAAAGGTTAGTATATAACTTAATTTTTGTTCGCTTTTAAATTAATGTGTTGCCTGATGGACAATTGTCTACATATCATTTTGCAGACGAACCCAAAAAAAGCGTGTTAACTATACCACGGCCAAAAGCACCAAGAAAGTCAGTATGAAAAAATCGCAAATGTTATTTATTTAATCACGAAATTTCCTCTCACTTGTTGATAATTAGGTTAAAACCACCAATGATCACTCCGCATCTTCTTCTTCCGCAAGGGAGCATGACACTGAAACTGATTCAGAAGAGAGCGAGCTAGAATTTATTGATGCTGAAGAGGAAATCAGGAAACTTACTCAGGTATTTTATTATTTGTAATTTTACTGCTTTTTATAAATAGTAGCTATATTCATTTCTATTTAATCTCCTAGGACGAAGCAGAAATTCGCAATAAGTTGCTCGGTATCTTGGTTGAATACCAAAATAAAGATAAAAAATCAGGAGAGAATTACATGAGTTCAGTATGTCTTAATGGCATACTAGATCTCTCTGACAAAGACGTTTATAAGACAGTTAAAAAGACTCTTGATATGGATCAACTCGACTGGCTTGAAAAAGTTATCGTGAAGAAAAATTGGAAACCAACCTCCGAATTTGTACAATATATCGAGCAATTTACTGAGGATGCATGTACTCGAACTGAGATTCCAACTATTGTGCGCAAGTCTTATGTCCCCGGGAGATTTGATCCTTGTTATCACGAAGCGCACGATATCGCCCAACAAATACTAACGCATTTGTAAGTATTTTTTTTATATTAACATTAACATATTTTTCATATTATTACTTATTTTCTATAAATAGTTCTGTTCGACTTGAAGCTCCAATGAGAGTCGAATATAAAGGCCTCGATTTAGAAAGAACTTTTGCCGTCGACACCATAGTGTACATCTTAAATCGACTATTTAGGATGCACCAAGACGAATTAGATGTTGCATGGTAAATATCAATTTTAAAATTCGAAGTTTTGGATTATTAAACTTACTAATCTTTGCTGTTTAACTAAGGATTGAACAAACTACTCCGGACACAAAAGACCATAAATTTGATGGATTGTACAAAGTGATCAGGACGACTGGTAAAGGCCAGGTCATAATTATTGTAGAATTTTCATATGGAAGAAAGGCACCCGAGTCCAAAAAAGATGGCGATCAGTTAAAATTGTGTCGAAACGCAATGAGAACTCTAAACAAATTGTTAATAACTGTACCAAAGGACCGTGCACGAGTATATTTAGTACAATCTTTTAGTAAGTATTGCAATCAGAAACCAAATATTATGAAGTTTGATTACTTATATATACTTAATATTTTCTTATAGATGGGTTTATCGAAATTAAATATTTAGTTCGCCCAATTCCATCGATATATATACTTCAACGCTTTATGCGTACCAAATTACCCGCCTCCTTTGGAGACTTTGAACAATTCGCTAACGATTTAAAAGATCTAATGAATTTGCAGGTAAAGGATCGAAAATGGATATTTTTAGATATCTTGTTAAATATTTACAATAACTTTTTGTTATTACAGGCTGATGTCTTGTCAACGGTCAGGGCAGTAAATAAATCAATCTCTGTAGATAATACAAGAGGAGACAATAATCTCCATTTAAATTCAGTAGAAGATACACCATTAAAGAAAAAGAAGGCGGAAAATAGAAATCGACCTTCATCTCCATGTCCTGGTGGATCACCTTCGGAATTACTACCATTGGCTTAGAGAACGCGGAACTAGATTCCTTTTTACGCTATTGCTTATATTTTCTCTACTTTATTGAAAAAAATAATGTATTGTGCAACACCAATAATCTCTGCGCGATCAGTGTTACAATTGTAATGGCGTGATTAGACCTATCATAGTGTTACAATTTCGCATCATGTATTTGTTAGTTCGTTGGATAGTGTTTTTGTGAATCAAAAAAAATAAAGTATTCTGATTGTTATAAATCGGTTTTGGGCTTTACCAGAAATTACTATCGACCAACCGCCAGCTTATATCGTTTGGTATTATTGTGATTGTCGATTTTAATACATTAAAGCGATCGGCTGTCACGCGCACATGATCTTGTTTAAAAGCAAAATACTGCGCCCTGGTGACATGTTCCCGTCTCGGCAATTAGAAAAAACAATATTTTCTTGCAAGCTGTATTTCAAACATATATTTAATAAAACATTTTCGCTCATATCGGGCCTTTCTCCTTTTTATTTCATATGCATCTGTATGCCCTTATTTTTAACATGATTGCCCGATCATCTTGTGATTTATAGAAGCCTGGAACTGTCGTGAAGATCACATGTGATACAAATTTTATAGTTTAGCCGTCTATGGTGATCGGATCTAATTTAACCGAATCATGACATTGGGGTTATAACATCTGTTTTCACCCGAACAAATCGAATAAAATGAATTTGGATTTAGTAGTGTGTAGTCTCGTTAAATCGGCTACAAACCGATAAAATCGCTATAAATTTGAATCGGGATATTTATTAGTATAGGTTGATAAAGAATCGCTAGAATTTACTTAAACACTATAAATCAATAAAATCAATATAATTTGCTAAATATGACGGTTGTTACCTTGGCAAGTGCTATTAACATTAATATGATTATTGATAAAAAACAATGGCGGTTACCTAAGCCCGTCAGTAATCGTCCTGGATATGAT